CAGCAAGGTACTGGTAACAAAACAGATATATAGACCAATGGAACAGAACAGAGGCCTCAGAAATAACACCACACATCTACAATAATCTGATCTTTAACAAACCTGACAAAAGCAAGAAATGGGGAAAGGATTCCCTATTTGATAAATGGTACTGGGAAAACTGGCTAGCCATATGTAGAAAGCTGAAACTGGATCCCTCCCTTACACCTTATACAAAAATTAATTCAAGATGGATTAAAGACATAAATATAAGGCCTAAAACCATAAAACCCAAGAAGAAAACCTAGGCAATACCATTTAGGACATAGGCATGGGCAAAGACTTCGTGACTAAAACACCAAAAGCAATGGCAACAAAAGCCAAAATAGACAAATGAGATTTAATTAAACTAAAGAGCTTCTGCACAGCAAAAGAAACTACCATCAGAGTAAACAGGCAACCTACAGAATGGGAGAAAATTTTTGCAATCTACCCATCTGACAAAGGGCTAATATCCAGAACCTACAAAGAACTCAAACAAATTTACAAGAAAAAAACAAACTACCTCATCAAAAGGTGGGTAAAATATATGAACAGACACTTCTCAAAAGAAGGCATAAAGCAGCCAACAGAAACATGAAAAAATGCTCATCATCACTGGTGATCAGAGAAATGGAAATCAAAACTACAATGAGATACCATCTCATGTCAATTAGAATGGCGATCATTAAAAAGTCAGGAAACAACAGATGCTGGAGAGGATGTGGAGAAATAGGAACACGTTTACACTGTTGGAAGTGTAAATTAAATCAACCATTGTGGAAGACAGTGTGGTGATTCCTCAAGGATCTAGAACCAGAAATATCATTTGACCCAGTGATTCCATTACGGGGTATATACCCAAAGGATTATAAATGATGCTACGATGAAGACACATGCACACGTATGTTTATTGCAGCACTATTTACAACAGCAAAGACTTGGAACCAACCCAAACGTCCATCAATGATAGACTGGATTAAGAAAGTGTGGCACATATACATCATGGAATACTATGCTGCCATAAAAAAGGATGAGTTCATGTCCTTTGACATGAACATGGATGAAGGTGGAAACCATCATGCTCAGCAAACTATCACAGGGACAGAAAACCAAACACCGCATGTTCTCACTCATAAATGGGAATTGAAAAATGAGAACACATGGACACAGGGCAGGCAGCATCACACACTGGGGCCTGTCATGGGATGTGGGGCTGGGAGAGGGATAGCATTAAAAGAAATACCTAATGTAAATGACGAGTTGATGGGTGTAGCAAACCAATGTGGCATATGTATACCTATGTAACAAACCTGTACATTGTGTACATGTACCCTAGAACTTAAAGTTAAAAAAAAAATTTCCCATTAATAAAAGATTTTCCAAATTGGGATATTTTTAGGGTGAAAGTTAAATTTATTAAAAATTACCCTGTGCAAATGGGTGTAAATCAGGATTGCTGGAACAAACGAGGACATAGAACATCCTGTAACATAAAAGAAGATAGGGAGATATTTCATCCAATAGAACAAAGAAGTGAAAAGAGTTCTGTGCCTGAGTGACGGACAAGATGCCTGAGGGATGAGGTAACAATAGGTCAGACATGACTCGTGGTTTATCTACCAAGTGAAAAATGTAAGTGGGGCCAGCTGGAAATGAAGGGCAAATAAAGCCAGATAGTCTAGAGATACTCCAAGAATTTAAGCACACTTGCTCTTAGCTTTTCAGGCAATAGCCTAGGAAAATTGACAACCCCTTAAAGACTCCTTCATATTTTACATTGTGCTAGAAAAACATACTACTCTCCAGGTGATGTTGAAAATGGACTGAGAAAGGTATATCTGTGTAGATGGACCCTAACTGGTTTCCAAATTGCTCATGGCTTGTATTTGCAATATAGCGAAATCAGAAGCCTCAACCACCTCAGTGGGACACACGGAAATGTTAATATTTGATGTACTAGAGCAGAAAGAAAACTAGGGTTAGGATAATGAGGTCACAGATATAAAGGAGTTCACAGATATTGTGGCAGAGGCCATGGATTTAGCAAGGTGTGTTGGGTTCACATACAAAAGAACTACCCTGGAACTATCCAGGAGCTATCCAGAACTATCCAGCTATCATGTACCTGGACACCACCAACCTAATCAAACAAGTCACAGTACTCTGGAGAGTGAATATAGCCTGTAGACTTTAAACTATATGGATAGATAAGTAACTTTTTTAGTAGGAACCGTCTAGGGAAGAATAAAAAGGGCATGCCATTTGAAGGAAGAAAATGAGCACTAATAACTATGTTTTAGCTAAACATTCAGTTAATATAATATTCAAACACCTTGTGTTAAACCCAGACACTGGTTTAACTCATAAAGACTGGAATAGTCTTTAATATGCAGGTTATCTTTTCTTTTGTCTTCAGCAGGAGTAGGAGTTCAAAGACAAAACCAGTTGCAGATAATAAAGATATATTTCTTTGCAAATCTGAACAGTAGTGTGCAAAATTCAACTTTAACTCATAGATCAAATGATTTTAACTTTTTAAACATGTTTTAATCTTATACACATATCAATCATAAGGCAAATAATTTATCCCTATTTAATAAGTGAGTAAAAAGACATATTTAAATAACCCGAATCCTCACTTGGCTGTTTTATAACACAACTGGAATTCATACCAGCCATTCCCAGTCCTTAGTTCTTTCCACTAAACCATCAAGGAGCAACTTGAAACACAAATATTGTACATGGTATATAGGAGATAAGCATGAGACCAGGAGGACTAAAGAGAGTAAGATGGATAGCAAAAATTCAAGCATGGCCCGTCTGGAATAGGAAATAGTAAGAGATCTGAATCTAGCTCCTAATACCTCAGGATATAGAATAAAGCCTTTTGTTAGGAGACTGGGGAAGACAGATTAGATGAAAAGAAGCAAGGGTATGAAATTCTGAAGGTTTGATTATAATGCCATAAAATTTAAATCATTGTTAAACTCATTTGTATTAGTTCATTCTCACACCACTATGAGGAAATACTCGAGACTGGATATTTTATAAAGAATAGATGTTTAATTGGCTCAAGTTCCACATGGCTGGGGAGTCCTCAGGAAATTTACAATCATGGTAGAAGACACCTCTTCACAAGGCAGCAGGAAAGAGAATGAGTGCAAGCAAAAGAAATGCCAGATGCTTATACAACCATCAGATCTCGTGAGACTCACTCATTATCATGAGAACAGCATGGGAGAAACCACCTCCATGATTCAGTTACCTCCACCTGGTCCCGCCCTTGACACGTGGGGATTATTACAATTCAAGGTGAGCTTTGGATGGGGACACAGCCAAATCATATGATCATTGTATTCAATATTACTTAAAATTCAAACATTCAAACCACAAAATTAAATTCAAGCACAAGGGGCCTCAAGACAATGATGTTTTGCATTTTCGTTGCTAAGAATTTCACTCAAAAGACAAAATAAACTTGATTAAAGCATGTCTTAACAATAAAATTATTCAAAAGAGTATTATCATCATGTAAGCTTTTGTAGCTTCTGAATGTTTGGCCAAAAATGAAAATCTCCAGAAAACAATAATAGAATGTTAAGCATAGTTGCAGTTTTACATATTCCAAAAAAATTGTTAAATGGTTTTAAAGTGGCATATAAACATTTTGTTTCTTTTTCTTAAATTTTTATGCCAAAGGTATCTCACCTACTACCCTAGGTCTAGGCCTACACAAAAACCCTAAAAGGATGTCACCCATCAGCAAAAATTACAAAAGACTTGAGTCAGTACCTAGGAGGGAGTTTTTATTTATTAAAATATCTCATGTAAGTTTCACAGCAATCTTAAAAGGTAATGTCTTTGGTCTTTGCAGCTACATTTTATATATGAGAAATCTGAGTTCCAATTTGTTTAAATAACTCTCCTAAGGTTAACGTTTATAGCTGTCAAAGCTGGCATTTAAACCCAAGTTTGACCACAATGGCTAAGTTTTTTCTTCAAACTACAATAATCTGCTATAAATTTATGTCTCAATTAAATGACATTTAATTTAATTTTTTTTGAGACACTGTCTCACTCTGTTGCCTAGGCTGGAGTGCAGTGGTATGGAGCCATCTCGGTTCACTGCAACCTCTGCCTCCCAGCTTCAAACTATTCTCATGCCTCAGTCTCCCAAGTAGCTGGGATTACAGGCCTGTGCCACCACACCCGGTTATTTTTTTTTTCTTTGGTATTTTTAGTAGAGACAGGGTTTCACCATATTGGCCAGGCTGGTCTTAAACTCCTGGCCTCAAGTGATTCACCTACCTTGGTCTCCCAAAGTGCTGGGATTACAGGCATGAGCCACCAGGCTGGCCTAATTTTATAATAATCTTTATATGTAGTTAAATGGATAAATACTTTTTCTGAATGTTTCCAAATGGATCTCTCTTACATGAAAGTTGGTTGAAAATGTTTTAAAATTAATCTCAGAAACAAAACCAGTATTTCTACTTGTATTATTTAAAAAAAATGATTAAAAGATAATTTTAAGTTAGCTTTGACTGTATCTTTACCTGCCCAACTACTTTGTCTCTTTCCAAGGAGGTCAGCATTTTCTCCTTCAGTAAAGTGTGGTGTTTCTCATGTAACACCCTTATAGTTGGTTCATAAGACGCATAATGTAACTTCAACCTATAAAAAATAAAAAGTCAATAGTATCTTAAGGGGTTATTGAGTTAAATCAGTAATTTCCATCTAACATCGAAACCTTTTTTTCTTTTTCTTTTTTGCTGTGAAATAAAAATAAATAACCTCATAAAGGTTAACACACTACAGCCAAGAAGCACAAAAAGCACACAAATTCACTGCAACTTGAGGGTGGAGGGTGCAGTGAGGGAGCAAATCACGTCTTAATTAGTTCTCTATTTCCTACTAGTACCTTTTGCTGTATCCAAGTATGTACTGAGAATATTGCTGCTACCCATGAAATTTTTTAAAATGCAATTCCTTTTGTTAATTTGGAAATGACTGTCAGAAAGACAAGGGCCACAAATAATAGATGATTAAACATGGAGTGTCATTCACATCAAAATAAACTAAAGGATGGTCCTTCAAAACAAGTTTGGCTAATCTTCTATTTTAAAAATTAAGTATAAAAACATTTTGATACCTAAACAGAAGGAATAGTTCAGCCTAGTATATAATGTAAATACCTTTAAAAATCTGTTTTATTTGAAAATGACCTCAAAATCTTTTTATTGAAGTGTAATTTACATGGATAAAACATACAGCTCTTAAGCGTTACTGTTCAGAGTTCTAAGAAATGCACACCCAAGTAGTACACATTATCAAAATATGAAACATGTCTAACACCCCAGAAAATTCTAGAACTTCATGTATTTGGTAACATATAACATGTTCTCTTTTTTAACTAGTTTATTTCACTCAGCATAATGTTTCTTTAGATTATTCTTATTACTTTACATCGCAATACTTCACTCCTCTTTACTGTGAGTAGTATCCCCTTGTATGTAAATGTGGTTATCCAATATTTTGCTGAAGAAAAGCTGAGTGGACTTTAGTTTGGGCTATCATGAATAAGGCCTCTTTAAACATTCTTATATAAGTCATGTAAGATTTTTTGATCATATATCTTCATTTATTTTAGATAAATACCCAGAAGTTTAATTGCTGGATTGTAATTTATACTACCAGCAACCCTATATGACAGTCCTGGTTGCTCTACATTCTTGCCAACCTCTGGCGACATTAGTCTAATGAGAGTTTATCCATCTTATTATCAAATTTGTCAGCTTTATTATATTTTCCATTAACCAACATCTAACTTTGTTGATTTTTTGTTTGTCTATTTGCTATTTTATTGATTTCAGCTCTTATTTTTCATTTCTTCATGTTTCTTGGTTGTAGTTTGCTCTTTTTAAGCTTCTAAGATGACATCATTGGTTTTAAAACTTTATTTTCTAAAATAAGCATTTAAAGCCATCAATTTCAATTTAAGCTGCATTGGCTGCATTTCAATATGCTGCATTTTTAATCATTCAGTTCAAACTATTCTCTAATTTATTTGCCTCATGGATTATTTAAGGCATACTACTTAATTTCCAAATATTTGAGAAACCCCCTGAGATTTTTAAATATTGATTTCTAATTTAATTTGATTTTGGTCAGAAAACATTCTTTGCATGACATCAGTCCTTTGAAATGTATGGAGACTTGTTTTACGGTTCAGTATATGATCTATTTTAGTGACAATTCCATGTGAACTGGAAAGAGCCAAGTAGAAGTCAAGAAATGTTAACTATGCTCAGTTGATTGACAGCACTCTTCTACACAATCTCTGGAATCTCTGTTTTGCTCAGAGCTTCCCAGGCACTGTTTCCTGCCAGGCTTTGTGTTCTCTCATCCTATACTTCCACAAGTTAGTTATGAGGCCAAAGATTGAAAAAGACTATTGCAGATATTTCTTACATTTCACATACCTCCTTCGTTCTGTGTACACCATGCTGCAAGTTCCAGCTACCTCTATAGCCCTGAACTCTGATCTCTGCCTCTTCAGCTCTGAAAATTACCATGCTCTGCTTAGGCTATATCTGGTCCCCTCTGTTGGAATGGGAGTCTGTAAGGGCCAGGAAATAAGTAGGGTCCTGGCTCACAGCATATTTGGTCCATGTACCCAACCAGTGATCAATTCCAGTGTTCCTGAGTAAATAATTGGAATTGATATGCTTGGCAATTGGAATAAGCTAGCAGAATGGGGAAGGTTATCCCCAGCCCCTTCTTGGATGTCAAATACATCTATGTATATTTCTTCCTACACTTTCTAATACTGAGTGTTAAAATCCTAAGTATAACTAAGGAAATATCTATTTTTCCTTTCAATTTTATCAGAGTTTGCTTCATGTATTTTGAAGCTCTTATATTAGAGTAATGCATATTTAATATTATGTCTTCCAGGTGAACTGACTCTTTATTACATGAAATGTATGAAATGTCTCTGTCTTCTTCTCTGGTTCTCAGGATGCCCCTGAGAATGTTTTTCTGTAGCCCTATGGGCTTACAGAGGTGGGCCCCATTTCCTACAAAGAAGTAGTACTTCAGCTGTGCTGCAAGATGCTGAAAAGCCCTCTTCCCCACAAAGAAAGAGATGTCCCCACCCCGGCCCCACAGCTGGAAGTATCCCTACCTCCTCTCCTCAGTGTGATTACGGAAGAAAGAGACTATACATCTAAACTGCTGCAAAAAATAGTCAGCATGTACTGGCAGGAACCAGAAAAGTACCCCCAGAGGCTGGATTTTGAGGTACTTGATTAAAGGGGGGTGGAATGCAAGACTGGATAAACAATAATTCCTTGACCTCCACACAATGGATTTAACATTATAGTAAGAACTCCAGCGAATAAGGTAGATTCACTTCTAGGGTGGTCCTTAGAAACTTGGAAAAAGATAGCCAACACTGTGAAGTAGAAATGCTGGAGCTACCTTAGCAGACAGTAGAGGAAGCACTCCATAACACCATAGCAATTTTATACTGTTATAAATAGCCTCAATTTTTCTGCAAATTACCCCTGGCTATTTAATTGAGTGGCTATTTACTGGGGAAAGATATTTTTAAGAATTTGTCATTCAAATTCAGAAACTTAAAGCAAAATCATGACCCCACTGTTAGAATGGGAGTCTATAAGGGACAGGAAATAAGTAGGGTCCTGGCTAAAGTCTGCTCACAGCATATTTGGTTCATGTAAGCACCCAGTGATCAGTTCCAGTCTTCCTGAGTAACTAATTTGAATTTGTATACTTAATAATTGGAATAAGCTAGCAGAATGGGGAAGGTTATGCCCAGCCTCTTCTTGGATTTCAAATACACCTATGATGGACTATTTGATATTGTTCAAGAAGTTCTGTTTATGTTTTTTCAGTCTTTTTTCTTTGAGTCCCTGCTCATTTCTTTTCAGCTTTTTTCTCTTTGAGCACCAGTTGGATCATTTTCCATCTTCCTGTCTTCATGTTCATTGATCTTTCCATTGGCAATGTCCAATCTTCTAAGACCTACTAGTAAATTTTTCATTCGCACATTATGTTTTTTTAGTTCTCAAATTTCAGTTCAATTCTGTTTATCACTCCTATAGTCACCATTTTCTTTAAAACTCTAAGCATTTCATAATAACTGTTTTAAAGTCCCTGTCTGCTAATTCTGTAATTCTCTTTTCTCTGTGTCTGTTTCTGCTTTTTCCTGATTATAGGACATATTTTCCTGCTTCTAGATATATCTATAGACAGATCAATCCATATAAACTTTATTTATTTATTGTATGTTGGACATACACTTGTCTGAATTTTGTTTTCTTCCTTTAAAGAGTTATTTTCTGACAGACAGTTAATTTCCCAGTGAATCAGTTGAGTTTTTCAGAGCTTATACCTTTAAGCTTTTTGGAGAAAAAGTCTAAAGCAGCATTTTCTCTAGGACCAACTAGGTCTGCTTCTATGGCATGGCTTGTGGAGGATATTAAGTAAATGTTCAAAGTATTCAGTGATGTTCCTTCCCTTATGGCTGATCAGTACTCCTACATCTCCCAGCACTGTGCAACCTCTGGAATCTCTATTTTACTCATAGCTTCCCAGGTGCTGTTTCCTGCCAGGCTTCGTATTCTCTCATCTTATACTTCCACAAGTTAGTTACGTGGCCAAAGACTGAAGAGAACCATTATGGATATTTCTTAAGCTACATTTCATGTACCTCCTTCCTTCCGTGTACACCATGCTGCAAGTTTCAGCTACCTCTGCAGCCCTGAACTCTGATCTCTGTCTCCTCAGCTCCGAAAACCACCATGCTCTGCTTGGGTTATATCTGGTCAAACTGTGGGCTGAAAAGTACCTTCAGGAAGATATGTGGGGTGAACATCCTGCTCATTTTGTGTTTGTCTTCTCTTAGGCATCAAGGTCCTGCTTTGCCAATTTTCCACCATCTTAAAAAAAAAAAAAACTGCCTCATGTATTTTGTCCAGTCTTGTAGTTCCTTACATTTGGGGAGCTAGTTTAGTACTAGTTGGAGAGCTAATTCTATACTATTTACAATGGCACAGCGCAAAGCAGAAATTCCCTAAAAGTCCTCCAAAAGAATAATATTTTATTTCATTAATAATTGAAACAGAGCTTTTCATTTTCTATAATATTTTCATAGCAGTATTTATAAAAGTCATTAATTTGGATATCACATTATACCTCATTGATGATAGCAATAGAAATTAAGTATTGAAGTGCAGTTGCATTTTATATACATTTAATGTGTATTAATATGACATTCAGAAAGAGTAATAAAAATAAAAATTTAGGTAGTACATACAGTTCTATCCTCCGTTCTGATTAGCTTCGTGTGTGTGTGTATGTATGTATGTATATATATACACACATACATATATATACTTTGGTGTATACTATAATCTCCATAAACATTACATATGTCTAAATACATAAAACACACAGATATAGAATTGTATACACACAACCATGTACACTGTAATCTGTGGATGGTTGAAGAATTTTAAAGAAAATGTTGATGGCAAAATTTCCCTTTTTTACTAACTTTGGAATTTAACTTATTCATGAGATATGGCTTGACTATCTTCTGTTAAAAGAATTAACAACACATAGAATTTCACTAGAATGTAACAAAGAAAAAACATCGCTACAAAAAAATTAAAACATAAAAAAATTTAGCTGGGTATGGTGGCATGCACCTGTAGACTCAGCTACTCAGAAGGCTGAGGTGGAAGGATTGCTTGAACCCAGGAGTTGGAGGCTACAGGATGCCTTAATCTCACCACTGCATTCTACCATGGGTGACAGAATGAGACTCTGACTCTAAAAAGCAAAACAAAACAACAAACAAACAAAAAAGAAATACTATAAAATTTATTATCAAACTAGTTGAAAAATTTACAGAAAAAGTAAGGTAAACATTTAATGTTTTACAATGAAAGGAAATATGGATACACTATTAATGTATTTGGATAAAATATGACATAAGAGATCTCAGACCCCAACTTTGCCTGGCATCAAAAACACTCTATCCTATAGCTGATTTATTATGCAATAGCACAGCTATCAGGCAAAGTATTCACTGTGTTTGACTGGTTAACTTGATGCCCAGCTTTTTTGTGACTTGATGGCATCACTGAAGTTTTGCTTTAGGTCTTTATAAAATGCGCTTTAGTGATTCATCCAGATTGCTAAATGGAGATGTTTTTCTTAATGATTAAATGAAGAAATAAAGGCTATCTGAGTACAGACCAAGTGTAGCTATATTACAAAGTAATGTGTGCTTCTTTACAAGGGTGCCTGAAATAATGAAATATGAAAAAACATAATCTAAAGTGATTAATTTTATATGAAAAGTATTCTCTTTAAACGTATTAGGAATTTGAAGAAGTATGGTATATTTTTAAATATAAATGGTTAGGGGCTATTGTATTGGACAGTACAGATGTAGAGTATATCATCACGAAAAGTTCTGTTGGATAGCACTGCCTTAGAGCAAGCAAATAGAATTTTATTTAAGGATTGTAAATTTCTTTACTTGTTTTTGTAGGGGAGGAAGGTAAAGAAGGAGAGAAAGTAAATCTCAATAATGTCTTCAAAATAATTTATAAAAGACTTTTAAATTCATAGTCATTTAGAGATATGTCCCCTATCCCTGCAATACCACAGCTGCACTTCACTCTCTTTGTATACAATTTGATGAACATACCATGTTTTTTCATGTCTTGGCACATTTGCAGAGGATGTACTATCTGCCAACAGCACTGTGCTGACCCCACTTCCTCACTGTCTACTCTTACTTGTACTTGAGAATTTAATTCCTGTGGAAATAAATCCTTGAGTCATCTCACACTCCAATCTTATTGGGATGATGGCCCTCTTGGGTGGCATAGCAACAATGCAGTGTATTTCAGTATATTTCTGCTTAACTCCTCCCACTTCACACACACAAATAGTTTCTGAGACCCTTGACAGCAAGGGCCGCAACTTACTCATCTTATGCTCAATAAATGTGGAACTAATAACTTTGTCTAAAACTTTCTGTCATAATCAAATTACTTAACGTGTATTAAATAACTCTTTAATAAATAGTCCAACAAATATAAGCTTACCCTTTGAGGTCATTGATTAATTTGTTTTTTTCCTGGACTATTCGCTTGTGATGCATTCGATGAAAATCACGCTCTTTCTGAATTTTCAGCAGATCTTCTCTAGCTTTGCTGCAAAAAATATAGTAACTTTATAAATCACTGCTAATTCCTTTTTCAAAAATTATTTAGTCTTGAGTTCAAATCTAGTATTGGGCCATTCAGAAGATAATAGGAAAACAAATATTTTGCTATAATTCTCATTGAAGGTTCCCATCAAACATAATTTGTATAAGGTCACATTAGGTTTGGGGGTGAAGGATGAAAGGGCAAAACCTGTAGTTCCAAAAATATGATTCATCTACATTTCATCTAAGTAAGTGAAAATTAAAGGTATGCTGCCAGAACATGTCCATAGTATAAACCATTTACTTCCAAAGAGAACTTGTTTGGCTTGGAAAACTGAAATATATGAAACACGATAATTCAAAATTATTAAAAATAAAGAATTTATGGAATTTAACTCTGAACTTCCTAGAATGTAAAGTTAAAGAGAATATACTAGATTATTCAGTTCTGATATTTGGGAAAAGAAAGCATATAAATTCTAAAAAACCAAGATTTTATGGTATATAGTAAATAAATATATGTCATCAGTGGATCTGATTATTACATAATTCATAGCTTGATGAGAATGGTCTTCAATATCAGTGCTGTAATACAGAAAAATTTTTCAACTTGACACATCTTCTGCAAACCTCTGGCATAAGGCAAGCGAAAGCATTCTTTCTAAGCCCAGGTTCTATGTGAAAATTTAATAAGAAGGTTTCACTTACCTCCATAATATATTAGTTTCAATATAATAATGTGAAATATAATTTATAATGAAAAAGTAGTTCTCAACCTCAGATAACTGACAAAGTACTACAGCATTGAGACTGTCACATTTCTATTCTGAAAAATGGACTGCTACCTCACATTAGGCTTGAAACAGAAGAAATCTACTTTTCTGGGTCACAACTATTTCAAAATTGTGATTCACATAAAATAAATGCACATGAACAGATTTCTGCTTTAAGTGGTGTCAGAACAGCCAGTCACTGAGGAGCAGTGTATGGGATGCTACCAAAGATGTTTATGAGATAAAGTAAGGCTCTCAATGAAGCATAAGTCAAGATCAGTGACTTCCTGATGCAAGATCAAATTACATGAGGCATATGGTGCAAGGTCTCGGATCCATTCTTCCAAGTTTCTTTCTTCTTCTTTTCTTTTTTTTAAATTTTAAGTTCTGGGGCGCAGGTGCAAGTTCTGAAGGTTTGTTACATAGGTAAACGTGTGCCATGGTGGTTTACTGCACCTATCAACCCATCACCTAGGTATTAAGCCCAGCATACATTTGCTATTTTTCCTAATACTCCACCACCCCCAACCACACCTCCCACCCCCCAGCAGGCCCCAGTGTGTGTGGTTCCCTTTCCTGTGTCCATGTGTTTTGATTGTTCAGCTCCCACTTATAAGTGAGAACACACAGTGTTTGGTTTTCTGTTACTGTTAGTTTGCTGAGGATAATGGCTTCCAACTCCATCCATGTCCCTACAAAGGACATGATCCCATTCCTTTTTATGGCTGTATAGTATTTCATGGTGTATAAGTACCACATTTTCTTTATCCGGTCTATCATTAATGGGCATCTGGGTTGATTGCATGTCTTTGTGATTGTAAATAGTGCCGCAATGAACATACACATGCATGTATCTTTGTAACAGAATGATTTATATTCCTTTGGGTATATACCCAGTAATGGGGTTGAGTCTATGTGTGTCTTTGCATGTGAGATGGGTCTCTTGAATACAGCACACCAATGAATCTTGACTCTATCCAGCCTGCCACTCTGCATCTTTTAATTGGGGCATTTAGCCTATTTACATTTAAGGTTAATATTGTTATGCATCAATTTGATCCTGTCATCATATTACTAACTGGTTATATTTTGCAGACTTGTTTATGTAGTTGCCTCATATTGTCACTGGTCTGTGTACTTCAGTGTGTTTTTGTAGTGGCTGGTAATGGTTTTTCCTTTCCATATTTAGTGCTTCCTTCAGGAGTGCTTGCAAGGCAGGCCTGGTGGTGATGAATTCCCTCAGCATTTGCTTGTCTGAAAATCATTTTATTTCTCCTTCATTTATGAAGCTGAGTTTGACCAGATACTAAATTCTAGGTTGGAAATTATTTTAAGAAAGTCAAATACTGGCCCCCACTCTCTTCTGGCTTGTATGGTGTCTGAAGAGATCTGCTGTCTGATGGGCTTCCCTTTATAGGTGACCTGGCCTTTCTGTCTGGCTGCCCTTAACATTTTTTCCTTCATTTTGGCCCTGGAGAATCTGACGATTATGTGTCTTTTGCTTGATCTTCTCATGGAGTATCTTACTGGGGTTATCTGGGTTTCCTGAATTTGAACATCGGCCTGTCTTGCTAGGTTGAGGAGGTTCTGGATGATATCCTGAAGTGTGTTTTCCAACTTGGTTCCATTCTCTCTGTCTCTTTCGGGTACTCCTATCAGTCATAGGTTTGATTTTTTAACATAATCGCACAGTTCTCAGAGGTTTTGTTCATTCCTTTTCATTCTTTTTTTCCTCTACTCTTGTCTGCCTTATTTCAGCAAGATAGTCTTTAAGCTCTGATACCCTTTCTTCTGCTTGGTCTCTTTGGCTATTGATGCTTGTTATTGCATTGTGAAGTTCTTGTGTTGTGTTTTTCAGCTCGATCAGGTCATTTATATTCCTCTCTATACTAGTTATTTTGGTAAACAGCTCCTGTAATGTTTTTTATCATGGTTCTTAGCTTCTTTGCAATGAGTTAGAACATAATTCTTTAGCTCAGTGAAGTTCATTATTGCCCGTCTTCTGAAGCCTACTTCTGTCAATTCATCCATCTCAGCCTCAGCCCAGTTCTGTGCCTTGCTAGAGACATATTGCCATCATTTGGAGGGAAGAGGCACTCTGGCTTTTTCAGTTTTCAGCATTTTTGTGTTGATTCTTTCTCATCGTCATGGGTTTATCTACCTTTGATCTTTAGGTTGCTGACCTTTGTATGGGTTTTTTGTGGGGTCCTTTTCATTGATGTTGTTGTTTTCTGTTTTTCTTTTAGCAGTCAGGCCCCTCTTCTGTAGGGCTGTTGCAGTTTGCTGGGGGTCCACTCGAGACCCTATTTGCCTGGGTCCCTCCCACCCCTGGAGGTATCACCAGCAGAGGCTACAGACCAGCACAGATGGCAGCCAGCTCCTACCTCTGGGAGCTGTATCCCAGAGGGGCACCAACCTGATGCCAGCTGGAATTCTCCTGTATGAGGTATCTGGGGACTCCTGTTGGGAGGTCTCATCTAGTCAGGAGGAGTGGGATCAGGGACCTGCTTAAACGAGCAGTCTGGCTGCCCCTTGGTGGAGGAGGTGTGCTGCACCCTCATGTGGGCTCCCCTGACTCTCCAGAGCCAGCAGGTAGAAAAGACGAAGACCACGGATCCATTATATCACAGCTGCCCCTTCTCCTAGTGACTCCTCTCAGGGATATCAAAGTTCTGTTCATGAACTCCTGTCTAGGGATGCTGAAATTCCCACAGAGAGGCCTGTCTCAGTGATAAGAAATGGATCAGAAATGCTTCCACTTAAGGAAGCAGTCTAGCCATGAACTGACACAGCTGCTGTGCTGCGCTGTGGGGAATTGCTCCTAGTCCTGACCACCCAGTCTCACTGGCACCTACAGCAGGGGATGATGGCCAACTGGAGCCGCAGTGATGGTGGCCGCCCCTCCTGCCCTGGGAATTAAGTCTTCTTAGGCAGTCTCTGGCCTGCTGTGTTGGCTGGCAGGGATTCCAAGCCAGTGTGTTTTAGCTTGTGGGGTTCTGTGGAAGCGAGGCCACTTGGCTCCCTGGCTTCAGCCCCCTTCCCACAGGAGTGGACAGATATACTGCCTCATGGGAGTTCCCAGAGCTGGAGTATGCAAATACTCTGTGTCTTGGTGCCTGCTCAAATGGCCAGCCACCCAAGCAGCTGCCATGTCTTTACAGTTCTGTGCTTGGGAAGCAAGGCCCTGGTAGCGTGGGCTTGCAAGGGGAACTCCTGATCTGTGGGTTGCAAGGATCCATGAGAAAAGCATGGTTTTCAGGGATGGGTAGCACAATCCTGCACCACCTCCTTTGGCCCAGGGAGAAAGCTTCCTTTGCCCATGCAGTTCTTGGGTGGGCCCTTGATGCTTTTCCTTGCTTTCCCTGGGTTGCACCAACCACCTAGTCAGTGCCAGTGAGAGAAGCTTGGTACCTCAATTGAAGATGCAGAATTCACTTGCTCTTTTCATCCTTCTTGGTGGGAGCCGCAGAATGGAGCTGTTTCTATTTGGTCAACTTGGCTGCTCCCGCCCTCTACGTTTCTTTCTCCCCACCTCCCAGTACACCCTATTTTTTAAAAATGACCTCTACTGTTATTTATTTTACTGCCAATTTTGTAGTTTTCATTACGTGTAAATAAACAACGTTCAGGTGACTCACAATACTCATGGTGAACTTTCTCCACCTAAACCTCAACCTCATTTTCATGCCAACAATCTTATATGTGCAAGCAATGATTGACTCGAACATTCAGTCTTGAAAAATCATCTGAGGAATATACTAATGATTAAACAATGTATTCTTTCCTGATTTTAACCCATGTGTGTATATCAAGAATATAATTTGACAAATAATATAAGTTGACAACATAAGTTGAGAAATAATATAGATAATGATATTGAATGAAGTGCTTGTTATCTAATTTTTCTAATTTGCTTGTCATTGCATTGCTTCTGGTCAAGATGTCTCTATTGTAAAAACAAAAATTAATGGTTATTTTCCTTTAAATATTTATAGTGTATTTTTTAGTGTTAGTGTAGGAGTTACATATATACACTTTAACAAAAAAGATATTGCAATTTAGGACAGTTTTGCATCTCAATGACAATAAAGCCTATATTCAAAATAGATCTTTCAATTTTTAGATTGTAGACAGGGATGTAATTTTCTCAAGTTCATTATGAGATTCTTTGGGAACAGTTCATTATGCTTGTGACAACCCTTTTTGAATTGTCTTGTTATTTGCATACTTC